TATAGACCAAAAGTTCAACTTTAGTCTCGAGCTCCTTCACTCTTTTTTGTATAGCTTCGTTTTCTCGTTTCAGCTGTTTGTTTTCTTTCTGTATATCTTTAACCATCTTATTTGTTTCTTCAATTATTTGCCATTTAAAATTTAGTGACTCTTCAAATTTTTCAAACCGTTCATTGAAGATTTTTACGACATCCTCAATATCCATTTTGTCACTGCCACCAACACTTCTTTTTGGAGCAGGATCGCGGTTGCCAAGATTAGTTGTACTTGGCCCAAAGCACTGGCTGAGTCGCTTGTTTGATACACGCTTAGTTTTCTCTGCCTCAGAATCCGAGCCATCTTCACTTTCGCTAGGGTTGCTGCATTTGGAGCAAACCCATAGCTCATCCATCTCTTGGTTTGCGTACGCTGTAAACTCCAATGAAGTAAGCTTAGAGCAGTTTTTATGATAATACTCATTGCACTGTCCACAACATATACTGTGTTGTGTTTTTGTAAATGTCAATGAACTCCAACAGCAGTGTGCACATTAAGTTCTGAGATGAAGGCTCTAACCTTACGGCCTACGCCCTACCACTACGGCCTACGCCCTACCACTACGGCCTACGCCCTACCACTACGGCCTACGCCCTACCACTACGGCCTACGCCCTACCACTACGGCCTACGCCCTACAATACAAACACAACGACACCTAGAGAAAAAAATACCCAAATGAAAGTTAATATTGTGCAAAAAAGTTGTATGTGTTGTAAAAAATTTTTTCACGTTGGTTACAATTTTTCATTTTCATTATAAAATTTCAAACGGCCCTTATGACCACAGACGGCCCTTAATCAAAAAAGTCTTCAGATAAACATTGTAGATCAAATAATGTTGCACATCTTTTATTTGAAACATTTTTTTGTAAAATCAATAGGTACCAAGTAATCGCCAATGGCGCACTTTCAACCCCTATAGCGCAAAACGCCAGAGGGGTGAATGTTTGATATTTTTGGTTTTATGATCACCCACCCGCCCCCTATCATCCTTGAAAAGTTCTTTTGGGTAGGAATTTTTTTTTTGCAATGCATGTATTTTTCGACTATTTTCCTAGACTATTTTATCAGTACAGCAAAAAACAAACAAATTCCGCACGCTCGTAGGAAAAATGTTGTACCTATCATGAGCGTAAAGTATTTTCCGCACTTACGGACGGTTTGCACGAACTCCGCTGGTGCGTCCCGTTTGCGTGTGGAAAAGTATAACTACCCACTTATCCACACTTGTTAGGTGAATAACTATTTTGTTTTTGTAAGTTTAAAGTTGTTTAGTTTTTTTGAGTGTATGACGCAACCGAATTTTCGTGACGAATGTAATTCATTAGTTTAAACTTTGGATTACAAGATTCTGGTGGATCTTGGTTTGTGGCAGGATTAACTTGTTAGATCATAAAAAATTCCAAGGGTGATGGCAATATTACTGAACCATTACTTAAATTGCCTAACATGTACAGGGTGCTGCAATTTCCACTTCCAGACCAGATAGAGGAAAATTGACTTAGACGTCATGGGATCGATTTTCGAGAAACGTCGATTGTCAAAAACCGTATCACGATATCTTCAATGGTACCATTGATACAGAGCGATTTTCGATTTTCCCTCATTAGGAAAAATCGCTATAAGTTTTTTATTTATCAATTTTTTTTATTTCCGTAAAAGCATTATGGAGATACTTTTTTGAGCACAATCCAGTGGCGAACTCAGTTTTTTTCTACATCGCTCCAATTTCGAGATATCGACCAAAGTCCGATATTTTCAAATGAAACACCCTACATATTAATAGCTCATTCGATAGCTCTGTTTTCTATGATATTAAGTTCGATAGGTTTATCTCTAACAGTTTTCGAGAAAAAAAATTATATATGTTTTTGTCGTAAGGACCAATGTGTTAGAGAAGGATTTTATATGTGGAAGGAAAATGAGGAAGGTCTCTTTCTAACGCATTGTTTCTTATGGCTGAAGCAGATATAATTCTTTTTCTCGAAAACTGTTACGAGATAAACCTATCGAACTTTATATCATTGAAATCAGCAAAAGTAGAGCTATCCAATGAGCTATTAATATATAGGGCGTCCCATTTAAAAAAATCGAACTATGGTCAATATCTCAAAATGGGAGGGAAATAGAAAAAAACTGAGTACGCCACTGGATTGTGCTCAAAAAAATACTCCAAAGATGTTTTCATAGAAATAAAAAAAATTGATAAACAAAAAATGCACTGAACTAATGAATTTGCCACAAAGCAGCGCTTGTGCTGTGCTGAGAGGATATTCTCAACCCTACTTAAATAATATAAAAACCAAAAATAGAAATAGGATAATTCTTATACCCTCAACAACAAATTCTTAATAGTTAGGTAAAGAGGTACCAACCTCACCAAAAGTAACGACAGCATCATATTAGCTCTCGTATTATTATATGATTTTTAGGGTCAAATATTCGTCAAACTATGCTGTTTTCAGACCCCACTTTTTCTGTTTTTTTCTCTTGTGGGCCCCAATTCATTTCTTTAATCTTCAGCAAAAAAAAACAGAAAAATAGTTTGTTTTTTTTGGCAGATTTATTTACAAATAAATGATGTTAGAGGTTATGAAATACAGAGCGAAATGAGCGAGCTCGATACGCTCTCTCGACGTATTTACGAACGCGAAAATTTTGCTCGAAACGCTCGAAATAGAATAAACGAACGGAATTTAGCAATTTCGAGCGCACGGTGCGCACAGATCGAATAAACGAACGCGCCTTCAATCCTTGCCTTCAATCGCAGAATCGCCACCGGTTACTTTGGTGACATGTTTGACATAACCAACCGCGTTCCGTATGGACCGGTTTTTCAGAAACCAGACATTACGGAACGTGTAACCGTAACCAAGGTTGGCAACGGAACCCACCCTTAGGTTGAAGTTGGTTCAACTTTTACGTGTGTTACGTTAATTTTCTTAATTTTTAAGTGGATGTAAACAACTACATATAAGTACATACATGATCTTGACCTTTTCTTTATCATTAAGTTGTCGTACGTTAAGTTACGTGGATGTACCCGTGATATGTTGCCAGATTGGAAAAACTAACTACGTCACGAAGCAGATGAATTTTATTTTTTTCGGGACCACGCCCAATTTTATTGTTCTTTCCTAGCGTTCGGTATTTTGCTCAAAGAGCAGAGCGTGCTGAGCAGAGCCATAATCACGTGACCAGTGAGCGAATAGAGCAGTTGAACGCTATATAAAAGTGCCAGAAATTTTAATAAACGAACGCGAATGAGGCTGCACCGAGTACACTTTTCAAATAAACGAACGGTAAAGTCAAGCTCGGAGAGCTCGGACCAAAATAACGAACGCACGGTTTATGTAAATACATAGCTATCTACTTGAGCCATTTTATTTCAAAAAACGCAGGAATCCAGGGGGCGAATTTTTGGGAATGTACGTTTATTTGCGTATGCTTAAAGATGCGCACGATATGAAACGTATACTTTTCTTTGTATTAATTTTTGGGTGACATGCCAAAGTTTTTCGATAACATGTCAAGAGACGCCTGGAGTTAGGCATTCGCAGCATTACGCAGGGTTGATTAGGCAACACTGCAAATTGAGAGATTTTTGTACTACTGAGAAAAAAATAGGTTGTGTAAACACCATTGCCCGTTTCAAACCTGTTTTGAACAAAAGTCAAAAAAGTGAATGCGAGAAAGCGGTTCAGAAAAATCCGTAGGCCGAACTTGCTAAATTCTAAACTGTCAAATGTCAAATGCTGTCGAATAATTCAATGCGAATAACCGATCGCATGTTGCGATTTGCTGAGACAAGAGATGAGGCGAAAAATCAATTCATTTATGCCACCGCAGAGACTAGGAATGAGACGCAAAAATTGAATTATTTTCCGTTTTCTAAAATATCAGAAAATACGGGACATTTACGCGTCCCGACAACAAATTTGGGGACGCGGGACATGGACCTTGAAATAAGGGACTGTCCCGTATAATACGGGACGTATGGCAGGCTTAGGGCGGGGCTAAGAGGAAATTTAAAAAAAAGAATTCCAGGCTATTGCGGTTTCTACAAAGCAACTGATTACACTAATAGTACGAAACGTCGAGTAGGTATATCATTACGTAGTAGTTAAAAAACACATGTATACTACCCCATTGCCTAATAAGTTGTATTCCTTTCACACCTAGGAGGAGCTCCAGAACATTACCGGGGCTTCACGCGCTTAGGGCGGGTATTATAAAACTACTTTGAGAGTTAACTTAAAGTTAACTTCTGAAAATACATGTAATTGAAAAAGTTAAGTAATCCGACCGTTCGCCGTTCGGGTATAGTTGTATTCCTTTCAAGAGCTTGAAACACTCGAGCTACTCGCTTCGGTCCTTAGTCGCCCCCGATTTGCAGGGAACATATGCGTGGTGCAACAAACACTTTTCGAAAGAAATAAGGGCAGGTATTATAAAACTGCTTTGACAGTTAACTTGAAGTTAACTTTTTGAATTACATGTAATTCTAGAAGTTAACTTTAAGTTAACTCTCAAAGTAGTTTTATAATACCCGCCCTAAGTTGAGTTCGGAATGGAATTTTAGTGCAGTGCTACTGCGGTGTTGGTGTAGTGTAGTGTTATCACGTGATGAAGGTGTAAGCGGCCATGTAACACCGAAAACACCATCATTTTATACCGAGTAAACGGTGTCCCACTATCTTCACACCATTCGAACACCAAATTATTTCCAAACGCAAATAAAGTGTACACCAAACTTACTCCTACCCAATCTCCTACCAATTAACGAACGCCACAGTGTCAATAGTGTAAAAAGTGTCGACACTTTCTACCATTCCGAACTTACCTTTAGAGTGCACGGAGTGAGCAAGTCTTGGCAAGTCCAACTCAATTCGAGTAAGCAGAAGAAAGCGCCTTAGCAAAACTTGACGGCTCGAAATAAAAATGTCAAAATTCCTAGTTTTTTTTACAAATCATTAGTGGTGTGATTTTTATGAGTTGGAAATGAGAAACTGATTTTCCATTAAAAACCGGGAAATGTATTATGTATTTGGCAGTGTTTAGTATTACTCAGTATTCACACGATAACACGTTTGCTTTGGCAACTACATACGCTTATTACATAAACAAAATATAGACGTTTTGTCATCAAACAAAATTCTATTTTCAATCAAAATCAATGTGCTAAATTGTAAGTAACCTTTTTTTCAATGATGATTAATTAAGCTACAGCAATAGATTTATCCTAGATACACAATGAAAATATTCAAGGAACGAATATTGTCAGAATCTCAACTGAGACGATTGGGCGAACACCAATATTCTTGTCAGAGTCTCAGTATTTGTGACAAAATCCTACAGCCTTACTGGAACTGGCTAGTTTTGAGGGTACCGATTTGGCTGGCCCCTAATTTGCTTACTATTTTGGGACTTGCCGTCAATATATTTACTGCCCTAATTTTAGTTAGGTACGTATAACATTATATTATTATAATAATAATTAAGTCTATTTTCATAATGTTTTTTTTCATCTAGTTTTTCTCCTGATGCGAAACTGGAACCACCCAGATGGACTTGTGCACTGTGCGCTGTTGGACTATTTATTTATCAAAGCTTGGATGCAATTGATGGCAAACAAGCAAGGAGAACTGGTACTGCTAATCCTCTAGGAGAATTATTTGATCATGGCTGCGATTCTTTATCCACCGTTTTTGTTGCCGTTTCTGCTTGTACCGCTGTCCAGTTGGGAAATTATCCTGCCTGGATGTTTTTCCAGGTAAGAGATCTCATTTCTTTCTCAATATTTGATCAGTTTTATTACCTAAAACGGCTAATTGAGCAATCCTAATTTTCATTGCTTAAAGTTTTCGTCATATCCTCTACCAGGGTTGTATTCTTGAGAGAATTATACTGTATAATTGGTTTTATCTGAGGTTTAATCAAAAATAGAGTTGCATCAGCACTGGGACTATGTAGCATATAGAGATCACGAGAGAGATCGTTTTCTCTATGGCTATGCTGTCTTTGTTTCTCTTTTCGAAATCAATAGGGAGAGGATGTCAATAGAGATAGAGAAAATATTTCTATTCGTTACATAGTCCCAGGGCTGGACTTGAGGTAGGTAGTAGATAAAATATTATATGTGAAACATGCTCTTCAACGCATACAAAACTCGAGTCTCATAACATACCTCAACACATGTATACAATGCAAAATTGTATTTACCACAAATTCACTTAGAATACATTAGTTAATATTTTCTACAAAATCTCTAGAATACAAGTTTATCAGATACCTAAGGTAAAACATTTTAGAAACTATTTTGTACATCACAGAAGTTGATATCTTTTGACCGCACATATTATGAAGTCTGTTCTCACAGAAATCACAGACCAGTCAGATAGTTGCCAACTGTCCTGCATTTCGGTGGGCGTCTACCATTTGGGGTTCATTGTCCAGCATCCTGTAACAACCTATTGCAGGACGCCTATTGTACTTTATTTTAACTTAATGAAGAATTCTGTCAAATTAAGCTGGCTATAAACCTGGTTCTGGTTTATAAAGAAAATCATACATTACTTGAAAATGGAATTTATTATTTTTGACTAATATTGAGTTGAAAAATTTCTGCATCATTTGGCAAATTGTATTTTCTATATTTGGATCCAATAATGATGCTGAAAGAATTTTTTCAATGTGTTCATCTTTGTGGACTGATGCACGTAATCGATTGTGCATTGAACAAGGTAAAACTGTAAATGGTATTTTTCTCTGCAATAATAAAAATGTCCAGAATTTATACTGTATGTCCTGACCTGATATTTTATTACCCTTGTCCAGAAAGATTAAAAAACGAAGTTGGCAACAGGGATCATTGCCGATACCGATACGATATGGCTTTATAGAAGGCCGATACCGATATAAGGCCGATACGGATTCTCGCACCTTTTCCTTTAGTTTGAATGTTTTATTTATTTGTTTTCTTCTAGTTTTATAATATTTTTTGTTAAAGTTCAGATAAGCAGGAAGTTCAGTTTTTTTTTTAAATAAATAAATAATTTTGAATTTGAGTTTAGATACGCAGAATGTTAAGTTTTTTTTTATATAAATACCTAATTAATTTAAAATAAATTTATGAAAAACAATTTCTAATATTTACTTTCTTCTTATGGCCATTTCCACCAACTATTTTAGGAAAGCCCTAACAATAGGTATGTCCTAAACTGACATTTCTCCATGTAAAAATGTCATTTTAGGGAATACTTATCATTAGGGCTCTCCTAAAATAGTTGGTGGAAACGGCCATTAGTCACTCCCATATGTATGAACCACAATTATTAGCTCTTTTAAGCTTTAAAAAAACCTTGGTGATGATTACTGATCTTTTAAAATATGATTTGTATCGGTCTAAAGTTATCAGCCAATGAAGGGCGGATATACCGATATACCTGAAAAAGGCCGATATGCCATATCGGTATCGGTCGATCCCTGGTTGGCAACCCTACAGAGTGAATTTTATTGGTGGAATATTTCTGAGTATTCCAACCAATGTTATTGGCGATTTGCACCAATTAAAAATGCTGTGACTGGTTTGTGATTTCTGTGAGAACAGACCTATGATGTGTCACATGCACAGAAATATGTATTAATTTTTTTTCCCAGATTTTTATAATTTATTATTATTATTATTATTATTATGATACAATAGTAAGCAGTTTACACTGATGAAACTATTGGATTACTTGTAAGTTTATCGTCGTGTTTTTGGTAAGAACTTATTGTCCATAATGAATATCCACATGGAGTAATGCACTCATATCGGTGTCGACCTTATTCTTGAAAGAATTCAGACTCTGGGCGGTGACTGTAGAATTTGACAGGCTGTTCCATGGGTAGACAATTTGATTTGCTATGAAGTTTCTTCTTGGAAGCTTGGCGGTTTTTTCCTTGCACAACTTCAAAGTATGACCTCGTAGATGGGGGTTGTTATTGAAGGTGAAGATGTCAAGGTTACAGGAGTAGCCATTTCGAATAATCTTGTATGTCTCGATCAGATCTCCTCTCTGACGCCTTTCCCTCAAAAAAGTGAGTCCCAGGGTGGATAGTCGAGTAAGGTAATCTTCATTACGGAGTGATGGTGGAATTTTTGTTACTCGTCTCTGCACTCGCTCTAGTATCTCGATATCCTTTATGAAGTACGGATTCCAAACTGAGTGGGCGTATTCTAGTTTTGGACGTATGAAAGATTTATACAGTTTCATAATGGTGTTGCACGACTGGTCTTCAAAGGCCTTTTTCACAAGGTATATGTATGAGTTGGATTTTTTGGCAATTTTTGATATGTGCATCTCCCATTTCAGATTATAGGTTACTATGACACCTAGATCCAATTGCTCCCTCACATGCTTCAGCTCGACATTGTTTATTTTGTAGGCATACTCAGTGGTGTTGGTTCCAATGCTCAAGATAGTACATTTTTCTTCGTTTAGCCTCATTTTCCACGTATTGGACCACACTTCTATAGCTCTGAGATCTTCTTGCAATTTCTTGTGTTCTGCGGCCTTTGCATACAATTTCGTGTCGTCGGCAAAAAGTAGAACCCTGGTTTGGATATTAGATGTCATATCGCTGACATACAATAAAAAAAGTAGAGGACCCAGTACTGATCCCTGAGGCACCCCACTCTGCACTTTTCTTCTGTCTGAAAAGATTGCATTTATTCTTACTTGGTAGCATCGGTTTAATAGAAAATTTGATACAAATTGTAATAGGTTCCCAGCAATGCCAAAGTGATGTATTTTGTGCAGGAGATAACTGTGACACACTTTATCGAACGCCTTCTCAAAGTCGAGATATATCACATCCACTTGCTCGTTATTGTCAAAGTCCCTTGTCCAATCGTCCAAGCATAGTGTAAGGTTGGTTGTTGTAGAACGCCCTGGAAAAAAGCCATGTTGGTGCTTCAGTAATGGATTTTGCTCCAGTACAAATGGGGTTAACTGTTTCACCACAATTTTTTCCATACACTTGCATAGATTGCACGTCAAACTTATTGGACGATAGTTCGATGGAGCGGTTTTGTCTCCTTTTTTGTATATTGGAATCACAAACGATGTTGACCAAGTCTCAGGAAAGTTGTGAGCTTCAAAAATACTTTTCATGAGATCAGACAAGGGTTGGCTCAGGATGGCTGCACAATTTTGCAGGAACACTGCTGGAATTCCATCAGGGCCTGGGCTGGAATCCGTCTTCAACGATTTTATTGCTTCATACACCTTATCAGGAGATAAGTCAATATTTGACATCTTTGAAGTTGCACGTAGGTATTCCGGAATTAGTGGCATTTCGTTTTGATTTCCTTTGGTGAATACCTTTTCAAATTGGTTTGCAAAGCATTCCGCTACATCAAAGTCGTCAGTCAAAAGTTCATCCGCTTCATTCTTTAATGTTATTGTTGAAACTTTGGTTGATAGTGTTTTATTCACATACTTGAAAAATATTTTATCTGAGCTCTGAGAAGCAATGTTGCATTCATAGTCTTTTCTTGACTTTCTAATTACACTTGTTAGGTAGTTGTTTTGTTCGCGATATTTTTTGTAATTGTCATCTGTAGCTGATTTTTTGTATTTGTCCCATAGACCTCGTTTCTTTTCTATTTGTTTAAATATGAACTGGTTTAGCCACGGTTTCTGTGGGTTTGTTTTACATGGTTTCAAAGGAATGAACTTGTCTATAGCACTGTTTAAGACTGACATGCACGTGTGGAACACATCACCCGAGGCAGCAAAATTTTGCTCAGCCAGAAAACTATTGATTTTCTCATAGTCGGCACTGAAGAAGTTGCGTTTCAATACAGTTTTCGTTGGACGCAGTTCACACTTTAGTTGACTTTTTCCAATGATGACGACATGGTCGCTCTTTCCTATGGGTGGCTCGGGTTCCAAGTTATATAGCAGTTTCTTATCATTGGTGAAGACTAGATCAAGTAGTGAAACTTGGTCATTTCGGAAACGTGTTGGGAAATCAACCATTTGGTAAGCATTAGTTTCAAGATAGTTGTCCAAAAAAAGTCGATTTTGTTTGTCTGGGTTGGACAGATTAAGATTCTTCCAATCTATATACCGATAGTTGAAATCCCCCATAATATAAACGGGCATATCCAATGAACAGGCACGCTTAATTGAGTTGATCATAATATTATCATTGTCCTCACTAGAATAATCCGTTCTGTATATACAAGAGACCAGAAATTTGATGTTACAGACCTTTATATCAATCCACAATGACTGTATTGGGGCTAATGTATTAAATTGATTGTTTACTGTAGAATATACTTTGTGTCCATTCAGCTCATCCTTAACCAAAACACACACTCCACCTCCAGTTTGATTTTCTCTGTCTTGGCGGAATACACTATACCCATCAATCCCAACAATACTATCAACAATGTTCTCATTAAGCCAAGTCTCTGTTACTAAGATGCATGCAGGATTATGTTTCTGTATTGATACTGACCATTCATCTATTTTATTGGCAATAGATTGCAAGTTACTGTACCAAAAAGTGATTTCAATCTCCAAACTGCTACCCTGATTGTTGCTTATTAGTTTTTTGGACCTTGCTTGATCTTTATAATTTTTGGAATAGAGTTATGGTATTTAATTTTAAGGTTGGACTCACCGCTTTCCTTTCGGGCTTTTAGTTCGGCTACTAGTGTCAGTTCAGTCGCCAGTGTCAGTTCAGTCGCCATGGGGAGCGCATCGGTATGTGCTCTCT